TTTGCAATTATTTTGTATAGAAATGTATCCCACCTGTGAATAATTGAAAACAACAAATTTTTTAGTTTTTAATCAATATATATCACTTATTAATAAAATATATTTATTTAATATCATAATCTTCAAAAATACGATTTATGACACAAATATATAAAACAAAATATTGTAAATATGAATTAAATTTTATAGGTTTAAGGTAATTATAAGAATAAGTGAATATTTATAGTGAACTTTCTTTTATTTTTGTTTAAAAAAAAATCTAATGATGTTTTTTTGGAAGGATTGTGTGATTGTGTAGTGTTTGGATGATAGGATAGTAGAAAATTAATAGGATTGAGGAGTGTTTGGGTAGTAGTATAGTAAAAAATTAATAGTAGGATTTAATTTTTAATGAAAAACTTCAAAAATTTGAGAATTTGACACCTAAGCAAATTAATCAAAAACTGTTTCTCCTTTAATATATAGAGGATATGTGAAAAGAAATAGACTGTTTATTTATAAAAATTACGGCGTATGCATATGAAAGATATATTCTTTTGCACAAATCCACAACTTTGTATGTCTAATTTATCAATATTCACTACGATTCCCTAAAAAATGATTGATCGTCTTTTTTCTTGCATCAAATACGTTGGTAAAAAAAAAATCTATTGATCAGACAAGTTATAATATAGTTTGCTTCTATCGAAACATCTGCATTATCTCAACAGAGATGTTGGAATGCATATTTTCTACGATTTTTATCTTTCACATCGATTCATTTGTGAATTATTATGTTTTTTTTTTTACTCAAAATTTGTGGAGGAGTAAAATTTCCTTTCGAGAGTATTGGTTAAGAAATGATTGACAACTTTACCATTCTAACAACATTAAAATTCCTAAAATCACTAATTAATTTTTTCACACTATTTTTTTTTGTTAATGTTATGATTCTTTTTATTAAAACTTTTTGTGATTTTTTGTTTTAAAATCGTAGTTAACTATCTAAAGTTTTAAATGTTTTTGTATAGTATATTGATGGGCTTAATAAATAAAATATATATGTTTCAAACCGTTAAAAGTTTACAATAACACATTTAATTTGGAATTATAATTTTTGGTGGATATCAAAAAAAAAAAACTGAAATTGGTCATTCTTATGTTACAC